TAGTAGTAGTGGTAGTAGTAGTAATCATAAAAATAGTACATAGTACAAATGGTAATAAATAGTAATCATGCTAATAATACAACAAGATGAAACATGATGCCAAGACGTACAAGCTAATGTATATAGTTCAGGCGTGATGATGCATAAGATACAGGTCTGCAGAACTAGTAATGGCACTTCCTCTCGGTCCCCATATAACTCTATCGCAATATACCCCAGAGACTACTTTAGACATGAAGGCAGCTAAGATGGCCATGGTGAACTGCAGCACACTTCATGGTCATGTCCAAGAACCTGCTTTTAGCAACGACAGCACGAAGAACCGACGACTTACTGCCTGCTATATTCTGGAAATCTAGCGTGCGGCTTGGTGCCAGAGACAGATGCGTACTGCAAGAAGACAGCACCACAGAATGGTGTCAGGACAAGAGCACAAATATGCCGAAGTACTGTTGAAGATCCTAAACCCGAAACCCTAAACCCTAAACCCTACTACACCTATGAAGATCTCCTCATTGGCGGTCTCTGCCACAGCAGCCAAGAGCATCCTGCACACATCGGAGGCTCTACTCTGCGGAGAGATTCTAAATGGGTTTAGGGTTTAGGGTTTAGGGTCTAGGGTTAGCCTTACAATGGTTTCGCGCGGCAGCCTTCCTGCTTCTTCTTACCTTTTTCATTTTCACGATCACCCATCGTCCGCACTGAACAGCTTGACTGCTTTCACCGAGACACTGCTTCTTGCTCCTGAAATCTCCTGAAGGTAGCGGGCCATCGATTTCGATTGCGCGAGAACTACTCCAGGTCGACTCTCAGCCGACTCCCTTATGATCGCTCTTCTGGAAACTGAAAGAACTTAATATTTGCACCAAAGATGTTGAAAGGCATAACCAACACTAAACACAAATCCATTTTGGCTGCTCGCACAGCAGTTGTAGTGATAAGGTGACAATCCGAAACCTCGACATCCGCTGACGGGAACCTCGAAACACCCCGGCCTCGCGCGTGCTACCGGGGCAAGCAGCGGCATCTCCAGTAAAGTCACGCCCACCTCGGCAGCCTGCGACTTCGTTAGGGTTTAGGGTTTAGGGCTTAGGGCTTCAAGGCCCCTACATTGCAGGCCCTTCCACTGACTCTTCTAGGGTCCCAGGGCTCACGAAGCCCTTGCTGGAGCAAGGTTCAGCTGATCTGTGCCGGAGTGAAAGCATTGGTGCGCTGTGCCGCTGTGCTCTTGCTTCGAGAAGAAGATCATGCGTATCATATGAACCTGATATGTATGGCAACCTTGATACCACATCCATGCTGTTGCTTCTTGCCAGGGTGATTACTGCCTGCAACTATCGCAGTTGTTGACATGCGTTCCAGGTGAATGCACGCCCTCGCCCTGGCCTCCTGCTCCTCCTGTTCAACTTCCTCCTCCTGCTCGTCCTCCTGCTCGTCCTGCTCCTCTTGAACTGCTCCTCCTGCTTCTCCTGCTCCTCCTGCCGCACCTCCTCCTGCTCCCCCTCATGCTACCGCTATCTGCTGCTGGCTGGCGCTACCGCCACTACTGTTGCCACTGCCACAGCCACTGCCACTGCAGCTGCCACTGCTGCTGCTACTGCTACTACTGCTACTACTGCTACTACTGCTACTGCTGCCACTACTGCTACTACCTCTACCTACTTCCTGCTTGCTGCTCCATACTGCCCACTGCCGACTCCCTACCACCTACTACCTACCTACTGCCTACTCCCTACTGCCTGCTGCTCCTGCTACTGGTGCTGCTACTGCCTCCGAATAACAAAGCCAGTGAGGCAGAACAGCAACGCAAAGATGCATGGAAGATGCGGGATGTGCAGGTTAATGCCTCAACCCTAAGCTTTTAGCATGCACACCTCTGCGCCAAAACAAAGCAGCAAAGAACACCTTATTGAGGGAAGCAACCTTCCTGTGTGAAACCTTGACGCAAGAATGTGTGCCGCGAGCGTAACCTCGAAAAGGTTCTGCTCGTTGAGGCCACCAGATGCTGCTGCCGCGCCCCAAGTGTCGACCTGCAGAAGGCCATGAGAATTCATGAGCCCTCGCTCCATGTGACGCAACATGTTGCACGAGGCTTGCTGAAATCCTTTGCCTTTGCTGTGCAACGAGGGCACAAGCCCAAAAAAGAACCCTAAACCCTAAACCCTAAACCCTAAACCCTAAACCCCAAACCCTAAACCCTTAACCCCCAAAACCCTCAACCTTGAACTCCTCAACCCCCTAACCCCTAAACCCCAAAGAGAGGTCCTGTCTTCCTGCCCCGAAAACCCTAAACCCCGAAACCCTGAACCCTAAAACCCTAAATCCTAAATCCTAAACCCTAAATCCTAAACCCTAAACCCCTAAACCCTAAACCCCCTAAACCCTGAATCCTTAACCCTAAGTCCTAAACCCCCTAAACCCTAAACCCCTAAACCCTAAACCTTACAAGGCCTCCAGGTCACAGGAGGGGAGGAGGAGAACCCGGAGGTGCTCTCGGAGACGGGCTTGCCCAGGTTGGGCCTTGGCCTGCTGCAGGGTTTAGGGTTTAGGGTTTAGGGTTTAGGGTTTAGGGTGCAGAAGACTTGAGGGCTTAAGGGTTCAAGGTTTTTTTGAGCTCCTTTGTGGGCTAGGGGATTAGGGTTTAGGGGTGAAGGGTTTAGGGTGTAAGGTTTGGGGTTTCGGGGTTTAAGGGTTTAGGGCTTGGGGTTAGGGGTTTAAGGGTTTAGGGCTGAAGGGGTTAAGGGTTTGAGGGTTTGAGGGTTTAGGGTTTGGGGTTTAGGGGTTTAAGGGTTTAGGGCTCAAGGGGTTAAGGGTTTGAGGGTTTAGGGTTTGGGGTTTAGGGGTTTAAGGGTTTAGGGCTTAAGGTGTTAAGGGTTTAAGGGTTTAGGGTTTGGGGTTTAGGGTTTAAAGGTTTAAAGGTTTAAGGGTTTGAGGGTTTAAGGGTTTAGGGTTGAGGGTTTAGGGTTTAAGCGTTTAGGGTTTGGGGTTTAGGGTTTAAGGGTTTAAGGGTTTAAGCGTTTGAGGGTTTGAGGGTTTGGGTTTAGGAGTTTAGGGTTTGCGGTTTAGGGTTAAGGGTTTAAGGGTTTCAGGGTTTAAGGGTTCAAGGGTTTAAGGGTTTAGGGTTCAGGGTTCAGGGTTTGGGGGTGTGGCTTCAAGAAAGACAGCATGAAGAGAGTTTTGACCCGCTTTCTTCGTCAACTTCCGTTTCAGATAAAGACCCTCGTCGTCATCAACCATATCTTGGTCGCCCACACCATCGTTAAACCACTGCTTCACGTTATCAAGGCTGGTATGAATACTGCTGCTGTGGTTGTTATCCATAACATCCAGTTGTCATGTCTTGACACTGGCGTTAGAATGACGAATGTCACCACAATCACGAAGGCTAGGAACAATTGAGCTGAGCATGCAAAACACAAAGAAATATGAACAGCTCTGTCAAAACCGATGTCAACACGCTTCGCAGATATACACTGTCATCACACTCACAGTCTACTTATGCGCAACTTCTATCCACATTCGTGACTGTGGATGTTGGCTTCTGAACCCCCCATGTCCAAGCCAAGACCGTGAAGACGTCCAGAGCAATCTACTACAGAGCCTAAACGAAAATACCTACCCGAAACCTCCTAACATCCGAATGCCGAGACCGCAGAAAGGACATCCCGGGTGATGGTTCAGAGTTGGGCGTGTTGGAGATGCAGGCTCATGCCAAAAAAAACTTACGCGTGTGATGGTGGGTTCCTGCCACTATCGGGCAGTCCTTTAATGGGTTCTCAGTCTCTGTCATACCCGAACTGCCACGCAATACTTGGACTTTCCGGTTCTCTTGGGCTCAGGTGTGGGCCAGGATTGGGGCTCAGGATTACGAGCCTTGTGGCTTATGGCATCGGGGTTGGGGCCTGGTGGGGTTGGGGGCTTCGGGTTTGGGGCTCGGGGCCTTCGGCAACCCCTAAACCCTAAACCCTAAACCCCTAAACCCCTAAACCCCTAAACCCTAAGCCCGAAACCCTAAAACCCTAAACCCCTAAACCCTAAAACCCTAAACGAAACTTCGGCTCGCTGGCGCCTCCGTCAGCAAGGCCTCGACGGCCTCGGTGTAGCGCGGGCCTTCGCCGCGGAGGAGGCAGGTGAGCGTCGTGGCGCTCCTCGGCTTCCAGGGTTTAGGGCTTGTAGGGTTTAGGGGTTTAGGTTTTAGGGTTTAGGGCTTGTAGGGTTTAGGGGTTTAGGTTTTAGGGTTTAGGGTTTAGGGTTTAGGGGCTTAGGGTTCATGGGTTTCGGGTTGGGGGTTCAGGGTTTAGGGGCTTAGGGCTCACATGGAGCCTGAGGATGCCTTTCATGGCGAGCATGCTACTCTAGGGGCCTTAGTAGTTAGACTAGGGTTTGGGGTAGATTATACTATAAATAAAACGAGGAACCCTCCAAAATAGTATAGGTAATTATTTTACCCTAAACCCTAAACCCTAAACCCTAAACCCTAAACCCTAAACCCTATCTTAGGCCGTCCAGCAGTCGGAATGAGACTCCAAAGCCGGCAAAAAAAGGGGCCCCCGAGCCCCAAGTCTCCGGTGCTTCGCCCCCCAAAACCCCTTCAAAGAGTGGCAGTACCCTGAAGTCCAAACACAACAGAATCGGGTTTAGGGTTTAGGGTTTAGGGTTTAGGGGTTTAGGGGTTTAGAGGTTTAGAGGTTTAGAGGCTTTTTTTTAATGCAATGGGCCTTTGACTCTCGCACCCGGCCTGGTTTTCAGGCTTGCATTAGTCTCAAGAAAAGACACATGTGTTCTGTCACCCCATCTGTACCGGCAACAATCACAGTGTACACAACTCAAATGAACAAAAACTCGGTTTGGCTCATCCCTCACAAAGCTCACTAGCTGCCCATGGTCTTGGCATCCACCCCGAGTTCACATTCATCCCATCGAGCTCACATGAGGAGGTTTAGAGGTTTAGGGTTTAGGGTTTAGGGTTAGATGCTTCGAGGGACACGGATGCGTTGTACTCGCGGAGGACCTTGAACGCGTGTAGGGATCCAAAGTAAGCTGCCAGGTCCTTGGTGCTTTGCTTTCCTACCTAAAGGATCATGGGACTTAATAAGTAGGGTTATAACTTAGGTAACTATACTTATCACCCCAATTAGGGGACTTATAACCTTACTTACTAAGTCTCATGATCCTCCAAGTACACTTCTAAAAGACGTCCACGGCAAACTCTGACGACACACAAATGCTCGGAGACGTCGTCGTCGTCGTCGTCCTGGTAGTGGCAGTGGCAGTGGAAGCGGTAGCAGTGGCGGCAGTAGTGGTAGTAGGAGTGGTAGTCGTATTGTTGGAGGAGCAAGTAGCAGCACTAGCTGTAGCGGTAGCAGCAGTAGTCGTGGCGGCAGCAGCAGCAGTAGTCGCAGCGGCAGCAGCAGCAGCAGCAGCAGCAGCAGCAGCAGCAGCGGCAGCAGTAATACCAGTAGCAGTAGCGATAGCAGTAGTAGCAGCAGCAACAGTATCAGTAGCTGAGAGTATATAGGAGCAGCAGCAGCAGCAGGAGCAGTAGCAGCAGCAGTAGCAGTCGCAGTCACAGCAGCTAGCCGCTTCAAGCCCAAACACATCCACTGCCACCGCTATAAGCACCAAACCCTAAACCCTCAAGCCTAAACTCTCAACCCTCCACCCTAAACCGTAAAGCTCTAGATCTTGCAGTTCTGGGAGGCCTTTACATCTTGCCGGGTGTCGGCGGCCGTCTTCACGCCAAAGGTGGCGAAGTCTTCCGGAAGGTCGGTTCAGGCTTCGGATTGCGGTAAAAGCGGTTTCGGCTTCAGGGTACAGTTTAGGTTTAGGGTTTAGGGTTTAGGGCTTGGGGTTTAGGGTGTAGGGCTTAGAGTTTAGGGTTGAGGGTTTAGGTCTGTCAGGTTTGGAGCTCAGTGGTAGGATTCTGCACGCCACAGAATCGGACCCCAAAGCCCGAAACTTCTTGAAGCCGCATGAAACAAGCACCAGCTTTCACAGAAAACCTGGGACTTTTCTCCAAAAGGCCAGAAACCCCCCGAAGCGCTGTTTGCTGGCTGGCCTTCGGTGATGGGAGCCTCGATATCGGCTCTCGAATCCTCTCTGACACGATTCGTGGAATGCAAAAGGCTGCTACGTCTCAAGTTTAGGGTTTGGGCTTCAGGGCTCAGGGTTTAAGGGCTTAGAGCTTCGGGGCGTAGGCTTCTCGGTCTTGATACGGTACCCTTGACAAGCATTCCTACTGGTCTTGTGAGAGGAGGGTATCTTGCGCACACCAAACTGTAGGCACGAAATACCTCCGCGCCCGAATCCGGAATCCGACCCAACCCGAAGACGCGCCCTCGGAGCATCCCCAGTTCGGCTCCAGCAGGAGCTTGACTATGTCTGCGTGTCCACAACGAGCTGCCTTTTTGGGAACGGTGGATTCTCAGAGTCATCATGAAGGGTACTAGGAGCCGTATGATGGCAGGCTTAGCAACAAAGAACGACAGTAGAAGGCATTGCAATAACCAGGTGAACGGTAGATGTCAAACTCTGTGCATCATGACAATGACACTGTTGTGAAACCACCAGACCCTTCCTTTCTCGCTGTGCTTGGATACTCCCTCAACCGCCCCTACCCGTTCACTTGTTGCGTGTCTCCCAGGTTTGGGTAGAGCGGAGGGGGGGGGGACTCTGAGGGATGTCCGGACACGTAGGGTTTAGGGGTTAGGGTTTAGGGTTTAGGGTTTAGGGTCCCCGAAGGATAGAACCGAGGAAGTTCGTGCAAGGACTGAGCCGATTTACCTGTGATCTCCATTGTAGTTCCTTCTTTTGGGTGAGCCAATTATATACTAAGGATTTTATAAGGCATCCCCAAAAAGGAACTGCAATGGAGACTATAGGTATGCTTCTGGCTCTATGTGTTGTCAGATTCTATGTGTAGTTTCCTGTGGCTTAAGAACAGCCTGAGACCTCAACCTGCGTTTTCGTTTCCAAATCATGGACATACTGTGGGTTTAGGGTTTAGGGTTTAGGGATCATGGGTTTAGGGTTTAGGGTTTAGGGTTTAGGGATCATGGGTTTAGGGTATAGGGTGTGGGTGACACCCTGAGGCCTCCAAATTTCGCGGACACGCTGCACCCACAAGCCCGGACTCCTAAAATCCGAACTGCTCAAATGGGATGCCTTGGGGAAGCTTCCCAGAGGACCCAATACCCCTTAATTCAGGAATATACCTTAAATTATAGGGGCCTTAATATCATGGTTTAAGGTATATTCCTTAATTAAGGGGTATTAGGCTCTCTGGGTTCTTGCAGGACCCTCAAGAGCCTCGTGGAGTGCATTTCGCCCGAGATAATTGCATTTGTTGATGTCCACCTTCTTGGTATCCAGTATTCTTGAGACCTTGGCTTTGAAGCGCTGCACTGGCGCCGCACAGTCCAAGCGTTTACGGCGGGTGTGTTCCACACAATCCTTGCAACTGTAGGTAGACTGGTACATGGGCACGCGAACGGACGGACAGACAGATGCTGAATTGGAACGGAAAGCAACTGTTCGACGAAATGTCCATCGCTCCTCAACGCAAACTCGTTGAACTCGGCCGAAAATATTACGGCTGTCAGACGGCTGCTGTCATTACAACGAGAGAAGTCCCACCACCTCAGAACAAAACAATGCGGTTCTTCCAAGGTGGCCAGCAGAATCTGGAAAGCATCTACAGAGCGACTGACAAACACAAGATAAATCGTTTCAGGGGCCCATGAGGCAGCTTGTTGCGACAAACCGATAGGCTTGGAACTAGCAATTGTTGTTGCTTGTCAAGTACGGCTTCGGCGCTTCTCGAACAAAGCATAAACATCACGAATCTTCATGTCTGGGGTATTATTCCTGTTTGGACCATTACACATTCTTTGTGGCTTGGCACCAAATCAATCTCTCCGATCTCGCCAGCCACGTCTATCAGTTCTGACAGCAACTCATCGCCGGAGGTGTCTTCCAATTCCTGGCTCAGTCTGACACCTACAAATGCTACCACGTCTACTACTTCTACTACTACTACTACTACTACTACTAGTACTACTACTACTACTACTACTACTACTACTACTACTACTACTACTGCTACTACTACTGCTACTACTGCTACTACGACGACGACTACTACTACCACTACTACTGCTACTCCTCCTGCTACTACTACTACTACTACTACTACTACTACCAGTACTACTACTGCTATTACTACGACTACTACTACTACTACTACTA